TATTTGACAGCTTACACATGACAAGTAATGAATGACGTCGTTCTTGATAGCAAATCACTGTTTCGTTTTTAAATAGATTTTTTGTTTTGTTTTCAAAATATGAGTTTATTGTAACTAATTTACAAAAATTTTTTATTGTTGGAACCAGCTCAGGAGCCATCATTTTATGTTTTATACATTTTAAAAATTGACAATTTCTTTCTGAAGATATCTTTACGACTATGACTGGAATTTTGTTATGCCACTTACCTAAGATTCGAACTTTCAGCAAATGAAAAATTCTTGACTTAATTTAATATTTTTATATACTTAATTTTCGACAATCAAACCTACTCTATAATTTCTATCATTATTTTAATTAACAATTTTGCGATTTTCTTCCTTACACTAAAATCTCATCTAATTTCAAAGAGTAAAAAACAAAAGGTTTTTTTTTTAATCTCTTTATGCTTTTTAGACATTAAAAATACATGGGAAAAATTGATTTTTATACCATTATCATATTTGTGTGTGTATAGACAAATGTATATACATATATACATCTATGTTTAGTATTAGAACAAGGCAAAAATATTTTCAATTTTTTTTTTTTTTTCATTTTTTTTTTCTTAAAAAAATAGGAAGAAATTTTTTCAAATGAAGTGAAAACAATGATGTTGTGAAAAATTCCAGAATAAAATAGTTTACAAAATAATAAACAGAACATGCTTATAACTTAGTATATATATGTATGTATGTATGTAGGTATTATTTATGATAAGTATTGATATGTTGGTATGTAAGTACATCCTCAATTAAAAATTAAGTTTTATTTGTACCGTCTACTGAAGAATCTAGTTTTACATTTTCAAAATATTTTTTAATCAGTGACGTTCTTGAATATTAGTCATGTAGTGTATAATGTTTTGCCATTATTGCCACTATTTAAGAATTCTACCAAATTTACTTTATGTTCAGGATTCACTTATAGAATTAATAAAATATTTGATTTAAAGTTTTTATTTTTGCTGCTTACATAGCGTAACCTACTTAAAGTAAAGCGTAAATTGCAATTGAAATTAATTTGATCTTTGACGAAAATTTAATTTGAGACTTAGTGACACGTAAATTTAATTTGACATACTTGACGTTTAAGGAATTGCCAAATTAATTTTAATTTAATTTAACTTTTGGCAATTATGTATGACATTTGGCAGAAGGTGAAGTTAATATTAACTTAACTTGACACTCAGAAAAGCAAGTGTTTAACTAAATTTAATTAATAAAATAATTTTTGAAATATGTATATTAGATTTTACCGTTGTAAAATCTAATATACGCATAATTTTAGATTTAAATGATATTGTAACTTGAGATAAACGTCATTAGCAGTAGGTAAATGGTCAATTTCTGCATAAATTTATGTTACTCTAGTATTGTAGTCTTTAAAGTACGTATTACAAAATCCCTAAAAATCAAAACACGTTTCTGACATTTGTGTATGACTTAAGTATATAACATTTGAAATACACATATTTTTCTTACGGCTTAAAGAATTTTTTTTTTTTTTGCTTTTCTTTTTTGTTTCGTAGAAAAATTTGTATTTAGAACAAAATGAATGAAAAAAAAAATAGAATCGCCTAAAATGTAAGAAAGGAAGGAAAAAAAATGCCTATTGTTTGAGTTGTACAACAAATAGAATAGCACAATAAGAAGCTGGGAACTTTGGGACATAAGTGAAAAAAGAAAACAAGTTTTTTTCTGTTCTTGAAATTTTTTTTTGTTCGTAATTTTCTGTTTTATTTTAAAATTCTTTACTAGTTCCTATAAAATTCAGAGGAAAATAACAAAATCGATCTTTGGTTTCTCTTTTTCGTTTTTTTTTTGGTATTTAATGGGAAAAAGTTTCAAGATGACTTTGAGAGTTATTGTTAAGAAAAATATTAAAAAAAAAAAATAAAATTATTGAAAAGGAATAAGTAAATAAAAATGTGGAAAACGTGAAAAAGTTTTCTGATTTTTTTCTTACTTTTTCAATTCTCTAGTATTCTAGATCTTGAAATTTCATAGAATTCCACTTCCACTTTTCTCTTTTTTTTTAGATATTCGTAAGGAATCTGTGTATGTTACATGCAGATTAATTTTATATTTTAAAAAAGTATGTACATACATATGTATGTAGGTAGAAGAGAATATGTGTTGCCAGAATGTATAAATGTACGTGTACATAGCATGTATCCACATGTGTACACCATACAATATTCAAAATGTCAATCAATGCAATGGAAACGGAATAATAGGTTAAGCAGATTCTACTTTATTTTCTTGAAATCATACAAGAAATTTTACAATATTCATGTTATAAGTACGTAATGTATGTAGTATTGAATACATTTTAAATACCCATGCATATTTAAAGTTGTCAGAATATACAAAAAATATAATGACACTTGCTTTTGAGAATAACAGCTTTTTATAATATTTTATAATAGTTTATATTATAATGACACTGAGAGCTTAAGTGTTTTTTTTAAATATGTCAAAAAAAATATAATAATAGAATTTATAAGAACTCCTTTTTCAATGCAAATGCTTTTTATTTTGACATATCAATATAGAAAAAGAAAACCAGAACTTAACAAGTGAAAACTAGGCTTCCATACCCTCTAAGAGAAAAACAAATACAACAATAATAATGAATGAAAAGAAGTAAAAAACTTTGTTTTCGTCTTTTATTCTTTTGTTTTTAATGTTTGCGCTCTCTTTATTATGAATCGATGTGTGGTTTGTGATGCGACAAATATTTGAAATAAAAAACAAATTTAATTCTATTCATACAATATACGAGTATATATGGATGTGTAACATATGCACATTGTTGTACTTAATTCTTTTATAAATTAGAAAAATTAAGGTTATATAATTTAAATAATACAAAAAATAATCATATTTTGTACTCGATACTGTAATTTTTTTTCTTCTATTAATATAATCAATACATACATACATAGATGGCAGCTCTATATTATTTATAATTGACGTTTTATTGATTTGGGAATTAATAGCATGCGACAAATAAGACATTTACCGTCTTATTTGTCGTTACCATTCCGTAATCACATTATAAAGTTCTCAAATAATTAAAAACCATCTAGTATTCTCAAACGAAAAAACATGTAGAATAGGGTGAAGATATGGAAAACAGAAAGTTATATTTATCTTCATTTTAGAGCGTTAATAACTTTACTCTCTAACCATATTAAAATTTTCAAAAAACAAAAATTTTTTTTCACTTGACATACTATTAAACACGTTGGTTATATTTACTGGTTATATTAAACACGTTGGCTTTATTTTACTGACTACTGACATTTTCCGCCGAATTTATTTTTTGATAACACATTACTCGTACTTTTCGGGTACAACGGTGGTCGAATATAATATGAATGCAGGTAGCTTTATTTCTATGGTCACCACTGTGCCTGTATATGTATATCTAAATAATTATTTTTAACATTGCACGATGTCTAAAAAAATATATCGATTTTTTTGCTCAACCTTTAACTACTGACGTCAAATTTCAGACAATTATCGCCGATGTTCGATTTCATAGACTGCTCAAGTATAGTGCAATATCATTAAAAAATTTTATTTTCTTTTATTTTTTTTATTTTTTTCTTGTTCAGGATACACATTTACAGAAACTTAAATAAACATCTTACATTTCTCCTACCATGCGGTCGCTATATCTTAATTGGATGTTTTTAAAATTGAGAGGAGACTCCATCTCAGCGGTTAAGGGTTAAATAAGGAGCCCTATTTTTAAATTTCTATTTAGTAACCAACACAAACACAATATACACTAAGAAAATGTTTTCTGATTTTTAACTGACAACTTATTTCTTGCTGTGGCGTAAAAAATTATGAATCGATATCCGAAAGAATCGACCTTTGGAATCAATTAATATCTGTAATCACAACTTAGAGAAAATAAATCAATTCAAATTAAATAAAAACTATTTCTATTTTATTTTTTCTTCCATACTTAATTAATTCATTTAACTAATTTGTTTTTTTTTTGTCTCTTTTCAGGTGAGTTTCAACATTAAATTGTGTGAAAACAATTACATACATATGTACTTAAAGTATTTATTAACTTCAACATTCTTTCATCATTAATTTTTTTATATAACAACATTATTTTCAAGAAAATTTGAAGAAAAAATCAACTTTAACATCCATCACTAATTAAAACGAATCTATTATTTATCATCAATGGCTTTATAATTTTAAAAGGAATTTTTTGCTTTTATTTCGTTGTTGTATTTTGTTTCTAGTACATAATTTTATAATCACCATCATTAATCGTTGTTCATTATTCAAGGGCGAATTCTATGAATTAAACATCATTAAATAAGCATTTTTTTTTCAAAGAATTCACGATTTGATTCATGTTAAAATGCGTAATTCATTGACTATCTTATAAAACTTAGAAAAACAAAAATAAAACTTAAATTTTCTAAAATGTCTTCCTTCTTCTTCGCTTTTATTTTGGGTTTTTCAGCTTTATTTTTTTTATTTAGAGCATAAAATTTTTGATTAAATTTAAATTAAGTGCCTATAGCATGATTTTATTTCCTAATTCTTAATATAAAAATTGTTGTCATTTCATTAAAAATGAATAAGTATTGGAAAAATTTTCGATTTCTTTCATTCATCTTTGAAAGTCGAATGTTGCATAATAAAATTAATCGAAACATTCTTTTAGAATCGATCGAAATTTTTTTATAATTTAATCGATTTGAATCATTGGTATTATTTCTTATTAATTTTACTGCATTTCTCTTTGAATTTTCACTTTCTTCTCTGCCATTCTTTTAAAAAGCAAATATTCATAAATCGTTTGAATTAGAAAAAAAAAATCATTAATTAAAATCAAAAAAAAAAAAAAAGCAAAAAAAAAAAATATTTTTTTTTTCTCTGTAATTTAAAATTTTCTTCCATATGTTCTTCTTTTTCAGCCAAAAATTTTATCGTTTATCAACGGGGACAACAGTTTGGAGATTCCCCTATCAGAAATTCACCAGTTTCCCCAAGTAAAGATAAAAATAAAACAATATTTGTTTGTTTTTTATTTTTTAAATTTCAGTTCGCTGTGTTTCTTAGTGCTAAACTGAAATGGACGCAGTATGCGGCAAGCGGTTGTCAAAAAAAAATTAGTTTTATTTATGTATTTGAATGTACCGAAATTGTCGCGTGGTTTCTGATTCAAACTTTCAACCAGCTTTGGAACTAACATTTCATTATTTTTTACGTTTATACCATAATTATGTCAATAATATTTTTATGCCGTGCGAAACAATTTTGGTATGTCGCACATGCGTGAGTTTTGATTACCGCACACTGCATACTGCATTCATTTGGGCTAGCACTTGGCTGTGTTCAATAACCATAAACAAAAAAAATAAATTAAACCGATTTTTTTTTATTTTATCCAAAATTTCAATTTTCAATTATTCTTTCTCTTTTCTTCTTATTTTGCGTGCTTTATTCTTTTATCAAATTATTATTTTTTATTTCTTTCAATTTTGGTTTTTGTTTGTTGATTTGACAGTAGAAATTAATAAAGATTGGAAAAAATTTCTTGTTTTTCTTATTTTGTTTTGGTTTTTCACAAAATTAATTGTGTGTATAGTTAATTAATTATTCACAAGTTTTTCGTTTTTGTTTGGTCTATTTTTAAATTGTGTTTTTCTTTTTTAGGAATAAATATTAAAAAATTAAATTCAAATGAAAATTTTCATATGATTGGTTGTTATATGTAAATTAAAGTGACCATTGTTCACAGTGTAATAAAATGGTTGATAGAATATTTTTATTTTGTATATGTATGACGAAATTTTGGTTTCTAAATAAATTCTAAAAGAATAAGGAACATTACCACTGAATTTATTCCTAATAATACTTCACATTTGCCCCTATTTACTTATGTGTAAAATTTGTTAATTTTAAAGCATACACTTTTGGATGTTACCAAATTAAAATTAATTATTATATGTGAAAATTTATCTAGAACGTATGGTCGCTCCACATTTATAACAAACAAGGACAATATACATAATTTATCTTGTTTGTTTTTAGTTTTTTTATTTGAAATTTCAAATTGCTTTAAATATTCTTCTTTTGAGCCAAAACAATGTAAGAAAACAAATGGAATTATAAAAATTTTATTACATTGCGATTCCTATAAATAAATTTTGTTTTTGTGCAACAATAAATTTTTTCCAGCTTTGGCAAGAATATAGTTTTGGTATCTTTCTTTTATATTTACTCTTATTTTTGGTGTCTCATACGACCTTTAACAGTTTTTATTTAACTAATAAATTTTAAGAAAAAAGTTCTAACATTTTTAAAGCAAATAAGGAATGTAATGCTGGAAAGAGCAGCACATAACCGAATGCATCATACATATACATACATACATACATATATGTATATTCCCTAAATGGCATTTACAAGTACACTAATAAATCTTCTTGTATCAGACTAACAAAGAACTTATAAATAGGGTTGTAAAATGCTTTTAGATAAATTTGCATTGATTTTCATGAGAATTGCTAAGCTTTTATGAATATGATACTTCAAAAATTTAAAATTATCCTAAAGATTCGGTTTCGACACTTGAAAAATAAATTTACATCGCTTTCTGAAGCTACCTTATTCTATAAAATATTATAAATTTACTGCAACGATGAATTTTAATTAAAGATACTAACAAGAACTTTCTAGTTTCAGTAAGAAATTAAAATTTTAATTTGCTTAACTTAAACTTCTTATGACAACACACAAATACAGTTATTTACGAATTATGGAAGTCAAAATTAAAGCGACTCATAGTATATGGTCTACTGCAACTTTCTACAATTTTAGAATTTAACAAGAAATTCAATTATGAATTGAAAATATTTAAACTATGTAAATTTTTTGAAAAGGTGAAACTTTTTAATGTTTTAATTTGAAATTTTATGATTTGTTTTCTTTTTTAACAACCCGCCGAAGGGCCTGAAATATGCGAAACTTAAGAATTTTAAAATCTCAATTTTTTAATAATTTTTACACTGAACCTCAGGCGCTCTTATTAAAAATTTTTACTGTTCCATTTGTTTCCATAAAAGCCGCTTATATACTTATTTGATATTTACATAGATAATTTGATTTTTTTTCAATACCTTATAAATACTTATTGTAATAATTAAATGTAAGTACATGTATATATATATATATATATATATATATATATTGAACATTATGGTTAAATAGATAATTAGAAAAGCGTTTAAGCCTATTTTTCAGCAATGATTTTAATTCAAAAATAGCGAAAAAAATTATAGGAATGACCCACATACATTTAATACAATTGAATTGAATGGTTTCTTAATATTTATTCAAAAATATTGCCATATTTAGTCATATTACTGTAATAAAATCAAATGATAAAAAAAAGAGACTAAGAGGTAATTATAAGAATAATTTTTACAGTGCCCCACGAAAATATAAAAGTGTTAAATTTATTATTTATATGTATGCATATGTTTATATAATGGGTGTTGATCCAAAAATTTCTGAAATATTAGATATAAAGAACATACTTAGAGGTATATATATATTTGTTTCGATCAAACGCTACGAACTTACTTCTGTTTCACATTATGATATGCTGTTGACTCATTTAACAATTTGACAGTCCGAATCATCGTTTTTTTAATCGATTAATTCCAATGATTTTCGTAAAATTTGTTGCTAAGACTAACTATGAATGCTACTGTATTACCTTAACTTTAAAAGTCCTCTAATTCTCAGTTTTATCCACCAACGGTTGTTGTAATCACGTTGTAAATGATTAATGATTAGTGATAATAAAAAAAGAATCTCAATTCCCGAAACTTTTCTATAAACCTTTGTACATGTATGAAAACAACAAAAATTTGAAATATATTTTACTTAATATTAAAAATAAAATCGCACCAAATGGCAAAATAATTTTTTTATAGTAACATAAAGGTATTAAAAAAAAATTAAGTAGCTTATGTACAGCTTATGTATAAATATTTTTTAGTCAAATATGAAAGAAACTAAATATTCATTGAACAGTAGACTTAAAAAACAGTTACGTGTCATCGCCAACCGTTCTAAATTTACGTTTTATGTCCAATGCATTTTAATTTAATTCGCAAAACATTACAGCTGTTACATAAAATATAAATTAATATTGACACGATTTGTGATTGATTAGTAGGAAAGTTTCTTATAGAAACTGCAAAAACATTTTTCTTTAAACACCCGGGAGTTTTTATTGTATGAAATTGCCAAAATAGAGCTTTTTATTTTCTGATACTTAATATAAACAAGAATTTTTCAAAAAGTAATAATAACTTGCGTTTGTTTGTACCATAATGCTTATGCTAAGATATATGTAAGTGCAATTCTAAAATTTTATGTGACGTTTTTAGTTTGCTTTATTCATTATTGATAACTTTTTAATTAATGTTTATAATGTTACCATAAAAATCTTTGCATAATTTCGCCCAGCCTGACTGATGTATAAAAATTAGGAGTGTGTGTATACGTACAATTTACCCGTAATAGGCAAGTGAGACAATTATCGCTTACAATTGTTATCAAAATATAATTATTTATTTTTTCCTTATTATTTAATTTAATATTCGTATTTTTTCAAATGATAATTACAATTAACTTATGCTTATTTGTGTAAACAAAATTGTTCTTGGAATGCTCTAAATATGCCAAAAAAGTTAGGTATGTATTTTAAAAAGTTTCTTATACATATTACAATTTAATTATAATTCATTTTGCTCTCAATATCATCGCTGTACAATAATTTTTAAAATATTTAACTAACTAAGTTTGAAATTCTAGAATTTTTAAATTTAAGAGTAAATTTAAAATTGTAATTTATACTTACTGGAATTGATATCGTCCGCTTGTTAAACTCATCAGCCGCCAGAGGACTGTGTATACATTTAAGGACTGTTTATAGAACATACAGTCACTCGTTAATTAAAAAATTACTTTTTATACTTAAGATGAATCAATTTCAAAGTTATTGCAAAATTTGATGTACACTCGCACAAGGTAAGCATTGTGATCGCATCAAATTGCACATATGTAGGGGTTTCAATAGAAATACATTTCGTCATGATAGACAAACGCAAATAAATTATTTTTGACAATTCTCGGTCTCCCTAAGTTAAATGAAAATATTATTTAAATTTTAATTAAATGAACTTAAAAACTTTTCGGGGATGTCATACTTCGAACACTGAATTTTTAATAATGGTCAATTATAATATTTTCATTATATTAATTAACATATTTAATACATACATATTCTACTTGTGGTTGCCAATTTTGTAAAAAAAAAATTAAAAGGTTAGTTTGGATTTTAAATTTAAAATAATTATTTAAAGGATATTTTCTGTAATTTTGTACAACCTTTGTAAAAATCCTTGAAATAAAATAAGAATAAATTAATTGGAATTTATAATTTTTAATCAGAAAATACACATTGCGGTCAGTTATGTACAAACCACAGCAAATTTTTTTTTCTGTACTTAATAGAAAGATATAGAATTGAATTTTAAATAGAAATTTTTAATATAAACCTAGAAAAATATTGATTTCATTTTGAGGTCGATCCAATGATAAAATTTAAAGAATAGAAGTGCGATAAAATTGAAATTTATTGAAAATTAAAATTAATATTTTACAAAATAATTTAAGATATTTTTAAATTTAAATCTTCGCCTTCACAGTAAGGAAATTCCAGTAAAAATAATAAAATAAATTTAGAGCACAAAATAACTTTTCTGTTGAGCATATAACAAAAATTCGGAATAAATCTTTGAAAATTTCTTGTAAAAGGTATATAGGTAGGTACCATTTTCTATTTGAAAATTTATACATTTTAATAAAATGTTATTCCGTGGGTATTAAAAATTATAATTGCGATGAGTTGATATTTTCACGGTTGTTATTTACCTTAGTTATTCAAAAAAAAAAATATTTTCACCTTCAC